GACAGTCAATGTCGAAACGCGCATAGTTCATCACCCGGGATTGCTTTCCCTCCACCGCGTGATAGACTGTGATACCTTTGATAGTTTGAAGCCGAGTGGTGGCACTATTCGACACTTGTATGAGTCCCCAAAGACACATAAGAGTGAAGTGCCACTCAGACCAATATCTTGGAACATATTGGGAACCGATCGGGAAGTCATCATTTCAGAAAACTTGGTAGACGACCGGTTAATGTATTTATGGTGAAATGGTCTATCACCATAAATACATTAACCGATCGTCTACCAAGTTTTCCGAAAAAATGCCACTCAGACCAATCCTTTCAAAGATGAACGCGCTCCAGCACAAACTGGCTGGTTGGTTAATGAAGTTGCTTTCTCCGCTGAAAAAACAGTCCAATCTGTACAGTCATTTCAACTCATCGGCGACCTGGATGAGCTCAGTCTGTCAGACAGTCAATAGTTCAATAGTGTATGGTGGGATAAAAAGCAATAACTTTACAAGACCCACAGGATGGCAAATGGATGTAGCATCCTAATTTAGCAACGTCCCGCTACATTAGACGGCTGATTACGTGTACGAATTAGCTGAAAACTGTGGCTGTTGGTTAACACTTCCGACTGAATCGCTGAGAATCTCTACTATTGTGCAGGTATAAGATGGATTTTCACTTCCGGAATACACCGTTCCATCTAATTGACGGCTTAGCAATGGGTAGCCCATTGGGTTTTGTTCCCGCTGATTTATTCATGCTGATGATAGAAAGATGCCTTTCTACGGAAATAGCCCAAGTCCCCTACTACAAACTATATGTGGATGATCTTTTGGATTTTGGTTCATCAGAGCAGCAGCTCACACAGTTGGTAGAACGCCTCGACGGTGCTCACGTTAACTTACGGGTTACATGCGAAGTAGAACAGAACAATTGTCTGCCATACCTGGACATACTCATACGCTATAGGGATGATGGATTGATTAAGAGGTCCATTTACTGAAAATCAACTTGGTCCGGTCAGTACCTACACTTCACCAGCTTCACACCAGTGCGGTAGAAATGGACACTTGTGAAGACTTTAATTAGTCGTGCCAGAAGAATTTATTCGGCCAACTGTCTGGACGATGAGCCAGTGTTAATTACAGCAACACTAAGGGCGAACGGCTACCCCATAAGATTTGTGAAGAAACAGCCAACCGTGTGGGCCAAATGAATTGGTGCACACGGCAGCCAAGAAGAAAGTGTATGTCGAGTTACCTTTCAAAGATGATTTAGCCACGCTGAAGACAACTAAGCGTATAATTTCGGCAACAAAGGTTTACTATGCTGCACAAGTTGTCGCAATCAACCGAACCCAATATTTGCCCATACCCCCAATGAAGGAAACTCAGCCTACCGGGGACAAATCACACTTTGCATAACAATTCGCGTGTAACGGCGGAAACAGTTGCAAAGGCAGATCTAATAGGACTCTGACTTTCCGAATAAAGAAGCATGTGTCAAGATGGCTTCGGCGTGAAGTTGCCCATATTTCCTACCCCATCAGATTCCGTGCTCTCGTAGACCGCCGGCTTCCTCACTAGGTAAATACTTGTTTGACTCGAGTCACCGGACAGAGCTAGGCTTAGCGTTCAAAATTGTGTTACTTCACACTAAACCCCGCTTTCTTCGGTTTGCTGAGGCTGTCGCTATAAGCCGGATGAATCCAGCCCTGTACATTCAAAGACAATTACACTGTTCGACATCAATCTTATAACAGAAATCAGCTGGGGATCGCTAGTAGTGTAAGAACCCGAGGTGCAAGCGAAAGTGTTTATTGTTTCAAACACAGGTTATACTAGGTGCATCGGTTCTGACCAAGGAAACATCCACTCAGCTTCGATCTTGTTACGCCGAGACGATATCGGAACACAGCTGGGTCGTAAAACGGGTATTCATGTAAACGGCAAGAACCACTGTAAACCAAAAAGGGATCCCTAGGTCTTGGTTTGTTACGTGGACGCTGCATCTAACCACCAATCAAAGGCTATGACACACAGCCAATAGCCGGAGTAGACACACGCACATATGCACGTGGCGAACGCTTGGCAAAGCGTATCAGCTCCCCTTGTTGGAGGTTGCATGGTGTGGGTTTCTTTCGGTGTTTAGACTATTTTACAGGCATGTTAGCGCATTGTACCAAGCATTTAGCGTGACACATATTCGAAAGCACGTGCTGTGCATACAAGTTAACGAGGCTAAGAACGCTGTTTTTGCGTCGTTGACACTTTCATTGGTAATGGGACGTTTGCCAATGGGACACCGGTTGGAAGCCCCGAGCATAAGCGACAGGCAGTCGAGCACCACCTGTGCTGCCCTGATGGGCTTCTGAAGGAAACCCCGATGATTTCTCTCCAAACTGAAACCGTCCAATGGGCAACCTGTGATGCCTGTCTAAGGAGTACATCTTAGCTACCACATGTGCCGAAGCTTACGCCGTAAGCAGTGCGGACAGACATACAAACCACCACATGAAGCGGCATATACTCCTTGATCGCTAGCCGCTGCCTGGTGGTGGCTTATTTCAGCGGCCTAACCACAGTTACGATGGTTCTGTAGACAGGCATTCTTCTAACTGGTATTTTACAGTTCCTTAGGTCTGAGGGAGTCAGGCAGGCCTGCATTTGCGGTTGCTCAGGCATGCTCCGTGGCTAGGCCACTGCACACCCTAAGCTGAATCAGCAATGGCTGCCAGGCGGTTGGACAATTTTATGCGATTGTTATTGCGATGACCATGCGGGACATTGTTCCCATTGAAGTAGGTAGACCAACCTGAAGCTGAACAACGAATGTTCTATGGGTGCTTACTTCTATCCAAGTTGATGACTAAACACAAACTAAGAGGATTCCAAGTGTGGCGGTGACACGAAATTAGTGAGTGTTGATTAGTCTCCACATCCATGGGCGACTTTGTTAGTCAGTTATCGCTTCAGTGTCAACTGGTATGGCGTTATTTAAAGGTCACAGGAAGGATATGGTCGCCCACTGCTGTTGAGACGGTTTGACAAGTGGCTCTCCAAATGGCACCATTACAAAAGACTGGAATGTTATCCTCATGAAATCGGCATTACTCAACAAAGAAACACCTAAAAGGGCTACAATGACTACCGTATTTATAATTGCCACATCGTCCTGTAAGAAAAATCGCAAAGGCTGACAGTTAGTGGCGACGCACGTATTTTATTCTGGTAATTCAGGCGATTACTTGGAACAGATAAACACTGTTGTCTCACCCATGGACGTTCCTACAGCATGTTTACAATCATTTACAAAGGCAACCGCGCCCACTAATCCTGCTATGGACCACTGTTTCAGCCTGTCTTATAATCAATCATGGGTGTACGCGTGTCATGCGGCCCACTTTGGGATGGAGTCTGCGACCACACCAAATAGAAGGGTAACAAGTGCAGTACTTGTTGGCGGGTCATATCAGGGCCTATGGTCACCTGGTATTTCAGGCTTATCAATCATACGGAAGTGAAGCGTAGATATCATGTTGGAGCGCAGGATTGACATGTATCTTACGACCTTTAAATAACCTGCAGATCCATGGGCACAGAAGCAGTACCTGATTACCCAAGTGGTCCATAGATGTAGGGACGTACGAACACTCACTAATGTCGTGTCACCGCCACACTAGGAACCCTCCTATTTGGAACAATGACTACAGATCCAATGCTGTTCTTACCTACCATGGGAACTTGAACTTAGTATTTAATGCGCCGACTACATCAACAGTAGGCCGCTACCCTGTTCACATGAGTGTACGGCCAACTGAAACCACACAGCACGGGGACTTTGTGGTTGTAAAGGCTTTAAAATTTCTATTTGCGAACCAGTCCTAGCTTTACCTCCTTCATACGAAGTACTGTATTGTTTCTGATTACCTCACACTGCCTTAACAACCACATGCATTTCCTAAACGAAATCTCGCACGTATCGATTCTCTAGATTGTTTATAGTGGCACGATTACACTATGTATACCGGATCACGTATGGCCAGATAGACAGTCGAGCAAGGAAGGCGACCGTACAGACCACCCGTAAGCCTTCAACGCTTCTCTTCCAACAGCCTGCAAGCGTTGCAACCTCAACAGAATCAACCAATCCGCTTCTTATTATTACTCACTTAGATGTCATCTCGCTCTCGTAGAAGTGAAATCTGCCTACGCCAGATTCGCAACATGACCAATCACGTATTATGTCTTCGATTGGCTGATCACCCGCGATACCATAGAACTGTGCTGGTACGCCGGTTGAAGTCAAAAGATATGTGACCGACCAACCGAGCCAATCGTCCTGCGAACCCGTAAGCCTGTTACCAGCATGCAGGTAGTTTTACGCAAAATGACCATCGTTTCAAAATGTGCTCTCGTTTAAAACTATCCACGCATTCCGTGCCACACTAATGCACGCCTGAAGAAAAGTCGAGGCGTCCCCTCTGTATCGAGGAGCCGTTTCATCACTGCCGGTGTCAGGAACCCGGCGGACACATGAAAGACCTCACAAATGCGAACGCGTCGTTAGTCTATGGACAAATAAAACCGCAGCTGATGTACAGAATACATCAAAACGATTAGTTAAGCATTAAACCTAAACACGTTACATGACTATTGGCGTTGATGCGTCTTCGCTTAGGCAGCAAAATATACTACTACTTGGTTCGTTTTCGGCACAAAAGAGAAGATGCGAAATTCATGCATCTGACGAGGTTTGTCTTCTCACTGTGCTTTTCAAATTTTTTATGGGACCCAATTGATATATTCGATTTTGCTGCCTTTTGTGCTCGATTTTCTTCTGCACTTTTTGCTGTTTACTGATCTGCTGAAGCCCCTCCAGATGTGATGTTTCCCGCACTTTTCCGTGGGGTGATCCGTCTACTGACCACGGCTTGCTTCAACCTTGTGAAGCCCATTCTTTGGCTGTACCGCTCTTTTAGTTACATCTGTTTGTATCTATTTTTAGCACTTGCCTGCGTTTACTCCTTTGACGGTGGTGATCGATTCGCCGATGCCTATGAAACCTCCCGTTCAGTTTCCCAATGGAGCGGACTCAGGTAATGTGTTTACTCCATGCTTTTACAGGTTTGACACATCTGTCTGCTCACGTCCATCGCGCATAAATGTGTTGGAACGCTCGTTTTGTTCGTTCGTGTTGCTTCTGTCGTAACCGCTAGGCCTCGCCTCTGTTCTCTGCCTTGTGCTCTGCTACTCTAAGATGTTCGCCTGCCTTTTCACATTACTGACGTGTGCGCACCTTTTGCCCTGATCCATTAACGCATGCGCTTTGCCCCACTCTCTGAATGCGCAACTGTTCAACCCAGCCCGGGGAAAACTGAATAAGAACTCGACCAACGCGTGTATATTGGATACGAGGAGGATTGATATTTATGGGACACACTCACCAATCCTTGCTGCGTCACCTGGCTGCTTGGCCCTTGACTGTCTGTCCGCTTGGCCAAACCCATCATTGCTCGCCTGGGACAACGACATGAGAACTCGGCATCTTCCTGACGGGCGGATAGCAACACACGGCTGATACCGCATTTATCAGCTTCCGGTTTGGCCATGGCAACAAGCCTGTGAGCCACTCACGTGGACTGGCTAGTTTCGCCCTGCTAAAGTGCACCATCTTAGTCGGCCGTTTCGTCGCCGTGAAACAATGTACCCGCGCATTTGTTTTGATACTTGAGTATTTGTTTATTTAAAGTATTTTATTAACTTGAGCATGTAATGATCGAAGAGATCCCAGGGAAAAAACTATTCTTCAGCCTGTTCACAAACTCGAAATTGTCTTGGTATATTGAAACCGCAACTTATCGGAAACCCTCCATTGTTCACTCTCAATGGACACTGTGGTAATCCAGTTCGTGAGTAGCTCAATGGTGAGGCAATGCTCAAATGCCAGACTGACTGTCCACAGCACCACATGTATCTAGCCTTTCTTTCTCATCCGCTGCGCAGTTTACTTCGGTTGTGTGTCAGGTCAACCTTTAGATCGGCTGAGTAGGACCCTGAGTGGGAACCAAAGGCAGAAAACCAACTGCCTCTTAGACAGCAGCACATCTCGCTACCACTAGCTGCACCTGCTATTTGGCTGAGCCGTTCGACTTACTTTACCAGGTAGGAACAATCGATTGAACTACCTCAATTAAGTGTCAATAGCTGCCGAAGCCATCTCTATTAAACTGTACAAGCGAACGCTGTGCACCCAGACACAGCTACTGAAAGCGTTGGACTGGCTTAGAGCTGAAAAATTCGCGACTTTTGATCCACATGATCACGCGGTGGTCTCATCTGTGACCTACTGGTTGGCAAGGACCCACATCCGCTCAGCTCCAAGCAGATGTTAATAATCTATATTAAAACCGTTTCTGTGCACTGGTACGAACCAGACGTAGAACGGTCAAAAATGCGCTCGCCCACATCAATATCCTAGTTTCTAATGGTGCATATAGTTATGTTCTTGGGAAGCACGGTGTGTTCTTCTCATTCGGACTGCTTCTATTTGCCTCAAACTGACGTGTGCGCAGTGTGGACGCAAAGTTCCACTACTTTGACAGACGAGAACCCCCCGTTCGTCGATGGGTCTGATGATCGGATAAGGGATTTTCGTGTCAACACTCACTTTATGCAGGTTGAACAACTAACTAGTTTGGAACTCTCCCAAACTAAGTTGTCTCCTCCCCCATGTTGGATATCCTCAGAAAGTATTGGATGTTACCATTAGCTCCCAGCATCTCGTTACCTAGGCTGTGATACTGTGGAATTTCTTTCTCGTGCACTCACACCGGATTTCAGTATCACATGGACCTAGGGAAGTGGTTTATGAGTGAATTTTCCTATTTTATTTTTTTCATACAATACGTTAAGCATAACTGCTCCCTATATTGTTTTGTGTGATTGCATTCAATTCTCACTTAATACTATCGTTATTCAGCAGCGTATTTAGCTCGATAGACGCTTAAACAGATGACTTACATATCTTTTGATTTTCTAGTGTTCACCACAATCATTTTATGGGAATTGTCGAGTACCTGCTTTTTACCCGTGATAAGTCATTGTTCATTGCTCAGTAGTAAGTGAACCCTACCGGCCAGGTAGCTAATTCCTTACTGTAACCGGGTCGCTTCCCTCGGCCATTAGTTTAGGCATCAACAATTATCAGTTGTCAGGAAATTTGTAGTGCTGGCTGGGTATTGTAACGTTGCCCGTGTTCATGTAGGTTCAACGAACCTTTAGATAACGTTTAGTTAGACTCTAATGCACGTATCCCTTCTATTGCCTATTGCACAGACACCCGGCTGTTTCAAGCACACTTTTGCTATTTTTTGGTCTCATTTTGATGATGTGACGCTGCATTTTCCGTGGATTACATATCCGTCCCAATGTGCCGTTTGGCGACTAGATACAAATGGTAGGCTATTCCTTCCTTTATTGTCATCCGTCTACCTGTAGAATTCGCTAAAAATTAACAACAGTTACCATATTCAGTGGATCTTCGTTTTTACCATCTCAGCAATCTCATCATCCAGTGCGATGTCGATCTCACGTAACAGCTTAAGACTGAAAATGCACTTGGCAGACAAGTGCCTGTTCATTGTACCATACTGATGAGTGGTACACAGCGCGCAACATATACGGGTTGAATGTTGCAACAAATGAAAGCTATGGGAAGCCCTAGTTGCTTACACATATTCCAAGCGTTTAACTAGGTGGTGTTTCTCTGGGGCTTATTTTGGTGCGTGGTCTTAAATGTGCGACATTTGTATCGGTTTCATCTTGTAATCCTCTGCACCACTTTAGAACGAAATGACAATCACGTGGTAGTGCTTTGGGGTGAGTGGGAACTCGCAGAGGCTTCAGGATATGAATCAATATCAGAAATCATTTCAGGGTAAAGAATTCTTTTCGGTAAATCTTATCAGACCCAGATTGACGGAGTGTCCATGGGATCTCCTTTGGGGCCGCTGCTGGCTGATATATTCATGGCGAAATTGGAACATGGCCCACTTGCAACGCACATCCGTGAAACCGAAATGTACGTACGGTTTGTGGATGACACCTTCGTACTTTGCAAATCCGAAAAGCATGCGGAACAGTTGCTGAAAGCTTTCAATGACGCACACAAGAATCTCCATTTCACTTGTGAACACGAACTCGGAAACCGCTTACCTTTCTTGGATGTAGAAGTTATCCGTAACTCAGACGGATCATGCAGCAGAAAGGTACACAGAAAGCACACATGGACTGGGCAGTACACTAACTTCCACAGCGCAGTAGCACTACAGCACAAGCGGAGTTTAATCAGATCTCTCGCCTTCAGGGCGCGCAGTATTTGTACACCGGATACCGTCAACGAAGAGCTACAGAGAATCAGCGACGCCCTCAGGAAAAATGGCTATCCGGATAAATTTATCATGAAACATTTGAAGGAACGTAATCGAAAGCCACCTAGGAGTATTGCTCCTAAGAAAGAGCTTTTCATACCTATACCCTTTAAGGGCGATTCCGCAGCTAATATGTTATCCAGACGCCTGAAAGATGTTGTCGAGAAAACTTATTTCGCGGCCCGCCTGAGAATCGTTTTTCACAATAAGCCGTTGCTTACAAAACCCTTGAAGGATAGACTACCGCCGTTGACCCGTTCAATGATCATTTATCAGTACTCGTGCTCCTGTGGTGCACGATACGTGGGTCGCACGACGAGACGCCTATCTCAGCGGGTTCGTGAACACATCCCGGCATGGTTTTGCAGAGGCGAAATGAGGTCTTCAGATAGCTCTATCATGTCGCACCTCCTTGAATGTGGCCATACAGCTTCAGAGAATGACTTCAAAGTCATTTACTCATTACCTGAACACTTCTCTCAAGGATTCCGCAAACAGCTCTTACCCATCGCCGGGGCTATGTACATTCACCATCTAAAGCCGGAATTATGTGTCCAAAAACGATTTATACGGCCGATATTACTACCTTGGCCAACGGACACCGTTACTTAGTTATTTGGCTGTCATCTTACCTACTTAATTGCCTTGTACTAATGAGCCTTGTGTACACATGTTTATTTAGTTTACTTGGTCTACCATCTCTATCTTTGTCTCAAGTTATCGATTTTTGTCATTCAAACAGTCAAGAAGTCAATCCCAGCCCCAGTTGACGCTATCTCCGCAATCACTGTTATGTAAAAGTTTGGGTCTGATGAGATTTACCGAAAAGAATTCTTTACCCTGAAATGATTTCTGATATTGATTCATATTAATGAAATGGGAATTTTTGCTTTGCTGAAGATCAGCATTGCCCGTGATTCATTGAAACTCTTAAATGAGTATCTGAAGCTTCAGGATATGTCCATGTTCGCCAGTCGACGATGGCTGCTTTAGTTAATGCACCCGATGATTTCCTTGGGATGGATCGGTCCATGGGTGTGCAACTACACCTAATCAATGCACCTACTTCGTTTCCATAACACACGTCTCAGCTTGTGTATAGCGGTTTACAAATACTCTAAACTCTCACAAGCATCGGTCGTGATCTCGTAAACCTTTAGCAGTTTTTCATGTGTTTTATTTTGTGAATTCCTTATGGGGTTAGACAGCCAGATGCTGTTTTACTCAGCTTTATCCGTCGGTTTAGTCTCAGCTACTCTTCGGTGCCCAAAAGTGCTAAGGGGTCTGGCTCATTCACGCGATTGGTAGTGTGGCTTTTGCCTACCGAACTGTTGCTTTTTTCCGAAGCATGTGTGACCACTCTCTACACGTGACATCCTACCTGCTCAGTCAGTGTTCTGTCTCATCGCTTCTCATCCGATGTGCTCCCCACAAATGTGCTGTGTCAGGTAGTTTTATTTCCTTGACCGGGAAAGGGTTCGCGAACCAATCACCAACCGAATTTGTATTCATCACAACAAAATCTAACCGTGAACTTTTCGTTTTAGACATCAAGTCAGTTTGTAATTAGGCATGAATGAACCGAAAACCTCAGATTGACTGTATTGTAATAGATGTCTGTCTAAACCTCATTGGGGAATCGGTTGAGCTTAGACGTTGTCATACGCAGTTCACCTGCAATACCTTGAACTAACCCTTCGCCCACACATCCACTGTTCCTCGGGTAGATTATCAGAAGTGCGATGAATCGCCCAACGTTCCACGGCCATTTGCTAATGGCCAAGTAAATCAGTGTTCCGCAAGCAGTCTGGAGCACTTGGCCGCTATTGCCACTTCCTTCGTCGATGGCTCTCTTGGTTGCGTTGGGGAGGTCAAAGGTCTCGGACCGGTAACTACATCTACGAAAGCAAAGGCCGTGAATAATACACACACATCCGAGAATTATTCCGAGTGCTATATGCAAGCTTTCAGTAGTGCTCGTCGCCGGCTTTTCATCCCACCTAGCACTGAGCATTCAGATCCATGCTTACCAATTGAGTGAGTCTCCAAGTGTTGGCATATCTTTTCGCAGCCATCTCTATGCCAGTCCGCGCATTGTGTTCACATGTTATCATAACTCGTTCTATATTACGTGTCCAAAAAGACCACAGTTATGAACGCCAGTTGCCGCCGCTGTATAAGGATGTGCCACACAATGGAGGCATGTGCGATTTATGCCTGTTTATCCTCATTTGCGAAATATGTGTATTCTTGCTGATTATCATCCAGCCAGTTTAGTTTGAAAGACCCTAGTTAAGATGATCCACTTTCGAATTGCGGAAAACTCGGTGTTCTATTCCATCGTACCTGCTGCCCTTGATAATATCTGCTATACGAATCCCTGTGTTTCCAGTCATCTATGTTACTAATCTATATAAAATTCGACTATATGATATTCTGGGTAGGTAAGCGTGAATGTGATTAGGCCTGTTGGTATTAGCTTTGCTCTACTTACCACACTCAGAGCCGAAAACAGTCACTACTGTGTGCTTCCGGCTTTCATCTGTGCAACGACGTGGACGGTCTTCCACATCCCTCTAATTTGCCATGACAACGCCCATGTAGTATCTTACCAATTAATCGACTATCCAACCCCATAGCCTACCAGCTAGCAGCTCTATACCCCGCTAACATATACAGAGCGTATATCTTCGAGTACCGAGATTATGCTCACAATCGTGTTACTACTTTCAAACTGTGACCTAGTACATGATTTGACTAGACGCTTGAACATACCGCTGACATTTCAAAGCAGAGACTGACCTAGCAAAAACTCAACACTGTGCCAATGCATTGTTGTACCTCCGGCCGGTGGCCGAAGGAATTACGCGCTTGCGTTGATTACTGAGGGCACTGGTTCGAATCCGCATAGGTGCTGATGACCTTGCGGCATAACCATTCCACGCGTGACCGGTGGTGGTCGCGTGGCAGTGAAGCGTCAGTACTGTGTGCCGGCGTACTGCTGGTGCCTCCTAAATAATACTCGTGAAGATATGAGAATCCAAAGCCGTGAAACACATCCGGAGCAGTTCTCGCCATGTAGTTGCCTTTACAGGCTGTCATAAGACTATCTTCAGTTGGTGGGTCAGGACCCCTGGTAACCAAACATGGCATACCAAACCACTCGAATTCGGCACAAGATGACTAGAACAGTCACCAAAACATCGCTCGCTAGGGATAGCGGTGTTCCTGCTCCTCCGCGGTCAAAGATACTCTGTAACATAGGGCTTGGATCGGGCGATTACCATGACAATGTGGAGGAAGGTACAAACGCCATCTGCATAACCGGTCGCCGTTACACAATTGCAGTGGCTTTATTCGTGGAAATAAGACACTTATTTGCTTAAGTTACGGTCTTATTGATCGAACTGACTGAATATCACCTCGAAATTATCCGATGTCCCATTTGAGATTGATTGTTTCAGTCCGTGTTTTAAACATCACTTTTCAGCTACTCTCGAGCCTTACTTTATCAGCGTAGAATGCTGTTAGATGAATTAAGCGCTGACCTTGATCCAAAAGCCAGGCTGCCTAACTGCCAGCTGTTTTTCTAGCCAATGCTTCTTCACTGTTTCGGTAGTTTATTGTTCACCTTGCCAGAGTACACGGCATCATAGGTGTACAAAATTGCTGTAGCAGATAAGAGTTGAACGTGACCTGGAGTGGTTCTATCAAGCGTTGTCTTAGGTAGCTGAGCTCATTCGAACCGCAACAACCCAAAGCCTGAACTCCGTGTTGAAGGAAACCGATAAGAACACCTTCCCTGTTGTTCTCTTGCTCCGCTTTCTATCAATGTCTGCTCTTGTTTAGAAAGTATAGTGTTCAATGTCACCAGGCATATACGCTCTACATAACCCAGTTCAGCCATGCAGTTTCTGTAAATGACAAGTAGCACAAATCTCCCACAATATTGACGATTTAGGGATTGGTGCAATTGTGTAGTTGTCACATACCGTTTGTTAGGGTAGAATAGCAAGTTCTGTTAAAAGTTGGGTGCGGCAGTTGTTACGCCTAGCGGCCAGTAAACAGCACAGGCCGTCTGCGAGACGAACGAGCAAAGGGAGGATGCAGCACTTCGGATGGCGGTTAACACACAAGATAACCAATCACAGGCAGAGACCGTCCACGAACAAAGGACCGCCGTTTGGGCGAGCGGAAGAACATGTCAGACGCCAAGCCGATCAGCATCGCCAGGAGTCAGAACGAGACCGCCAGTATCAAGGCCACGGACCGCAAATTGCCTGCCGAAGGACATAGAACAGCTGATACCCGCAGAGCCAATCAACATCGCTGTTACATGTGTGTCGTCCGCTAAACCGCTGAGCCGATGAGCAAACACAGATACATACAGATCGATTGACCGATAGCTGATTCGTCCACTCTTTTTCCTTGTGCTGATTGGTTCCTTTTCGACTTATTCATCTGGTGTAACCTACAAGCTATCTATTACCGTTTTTGGCACGTCCCATCCAGTGTGTGTTCTTATTCACTTCTTGCGCGGACTAAGGGTCCAGGTGCGATCCAGCAACACTCGAGTAATACGTATCAATCGCCGTAGAGAACAGGTTGCGGTTAGATCAACGACCCAGAATCTAGGAACGCGAAACAATGAATACAAATGCATAGCCAGGGAGGACGTGAATCAGAAAATAGTAATGTGTGGTATAAAACAAAGCATGGTTCAGCAACAAAGATCTTAATGTCGCTGCAGTCTTCGTTCTGCTTAGCAGAGGGCCTCACCTTTACATTGGGCATTTTGGGATTGCGTGAAATGACCAAATTCGAAGACTAGGATAAATGCTTTGAGGTATCATTTCACAATGTGGCACCCTTGTTGGCAACTTTAAAAAAGGGTGAGCTGCTATCGAAGATCTGTCACTGCTAGTTATAACTATCATTTAGATGATACTAGCGATACTATGTAAGTGCAAGAGGTAATGAAGATTCTATCATGCTTCGGCGTTTCAGTCGGGTCCGTTTTTTCGAATAACCGTGTGTTATCATGTGGCTGTAACGTTCAGTCCTGTGTTATATGCCACATTCTGATGCATCAAATACAAATGTTAACAAGATAATCACCATCAGTCGTCAACACCATGAGTGGACTACTCATCGTTTTTGCCGGAGACGGGGTGCATGTCTTTCATGATGTGGACTGCGGTGGCATATTTGCGTTATAGGTCACTTGAAGGAGTGATTTGCTTACGCCCATCCAGCACTAATCAAGCTGTCCACATGTTTATGTTCCCCCGTCACGGTCGCCGCCCCATCTGCTTTAGGACGTTGTCGTGTAACTGTGGTTTTGTTACCTTGGTTTAGTAACAGTAAGTGATGTTGATTGAGAGTTTGTGGGCCAGCTGTGCATTGATCTCGATTCGCACTCGCATGTGTGTGGACGAGTTACCTCCCGAACCTATTTGGTTACACGCGTTTTGCAGCTGGTTGTAACCACAACGGCAAGCAACTAATGAGTTCGCCGCTTTCGTTATGTTTCCTCCCATCGTTTCCCAGGAATTCTCTTTCCATTGATGTGACCTCATTCACTATCGTCCCCGGTACGATTTTTCGCTGTGTCAGTTAGATACTAGCTTCTTCTGCCGTCACCATATGCTGCCTGTCAGTGTCAGGGCCCTTAAGTCGGACGTTGTCTTTTTCGCCGGAGATCTACTGTTGATATATCAGTTTTGCACGAATAGTCTGACAGCTTTTTTTGTTCAAACAATTTCCCAGGTCACAGAGACCGTCCTACTCTATCCACCTTTTGAATGCAAATGCTGTGGTACGGCGCACTATTCCTGATTAATTGCTTCTGCACAGGAACATTGAAGTCAACTGAAACTAGTTAGGAAGAAAATGTTTGGTAAAACTTTGTCCTGCTGACTGGATGCAAATCCCGAGGATTCTATTCAGTATGGTGCTATAGAAAGCCAGGCCGTTTACCCCAGTGATGGTAGTACAGCCGTTTCTCTTTTATGTACTCATTTGTAAAATTTTGCACTTTTTTCATAACAGTACCTTTGCAGCTGATAATGTAAATTGCTGAAAATGCGCCCATTTGGGTATATAACGCTTAGCTTGACTTGACTTGTCTGGCCCCCAACATTTTAGGGCAGGGAACTTCCTAGTGTGTGCTCTGGACTGAATCTCCGATTCTCGGGTTATCCCGTATTTCAACTTTTTGGCTGTCATCCCAACTATCGAAGTGAAGTGGGACGAGTCACCTCAAACTACTTCGGCAAGACGATTCGGGCTTATGATGTTTAAAGTGAATTAAGCGAAGATCTCAAGTAGAAAATTGTTCGTAAGAGCACCTGACTGGGCATAAATGTCACTATTCCCTAGACTCCAACACAGCAAGATGGTCACCAGTCATTGGTACTGGTGATTTCCTTGCTCCTTACCAACTGGATGACACGCCAACGTGATTCAAATCTTCGGTTGTTATTCCTCAATAGCTTATCACGCGATCACATTGTAGCCTCGTTCAATGGAGCGCAGTTTCAGTAAACAAGGTACCCGTGTTTAATTCGACACTAGCTTGTAACAGCGAACGCACAGAGGCAATTGCTGTCCCTACTCTCATTAGTTCGGTTTTGATCTTGTGATAATATACATCCCTACGGAGGATATCAGCCAACTTAATCTGCTCTCTTAAATATCAGAACACGTTGCACCAGTAGAAAGAGTCCATCACTGCGACGATTGCGATCGAATGCGGAGTAAACCAAATGCTGATGAAATGCTCCAGACATCCTTTGCATAGATGTGAGAAGTGGTCAAATTCGGTGCTGCTCATTGGCCGAGGTACAACCTAGCGGGTACATTCCAAAGTTCTCCCGAAGAACAGACCAAACATCAGTCATCACCGGATGTTTGCTTCCAGCTGAACGAGTTATCATTTCCATGAGGCGTCATTGAAGGATTTTACAGTGATTTCCTCGGTGGCATCCTGACATTAACAGAATGAGGCTGTTTGTGCGAAACTATGGTTATTGGGCAAATGTTGATCCGGAACTCGAACAGCCGATGAAGTCATTTCCAACATACACACGTGTCAGTAGGGCACCCAGAAACTCTGGACTCTTCCTGACCGTTAGCAACGAAACCGTTGGAGCGCGTACAAACTGGATTATTTGTTCCTGTAAATGGATATCCGTCATCTTATGGCGAGGTTAGTTTCAAAGTGGTCCCAACTGTGACGGCTGTTCTCAATCCAAACGCATAACGAGGACTCATAAACCTAAACATACATCTTATTTTGCCCGATTGATTCAGCAAATACCCTGAGATGTCTTGCATAGAGAATCCCACATGTGGTGCAAGAACCAGTTTAATGAGAAATCTTTTCAGCCAGCACGAAATAGTGGAGATCCTATTCACTGTCATCGTTTCTCAGTTCACCACTTCCCAGTGTACCGGATACTATACACAGAATGCTACCACAGATTTGCTCTCTCCACCGTCGGTCACCATTCCAGTGTGCAAGAGTGCTTCGTTACTTTTAAACGGACAACATTGAGGCAGTTAGAAGGAAGCAGACAAGAGACACCACCAAACCAAATCTTCATCAGCTTGCCGACAGTGCGGTTGACGGCCTTTTGTTCGTTTGTCCCATTCAAACAGCACATCGGTTAGCAGTTTTGTATACGTGGATACAAGGGACCTCACTACAGGACTAAGCCATCGTTCAGGATAACTCGTGGTGTCCGAAGGTAAGGTTACGGCAAGTGGACGTGACTACTGCATGCGCATAAACAGATAATGTCGGAAATAAAACACAGCTTGTTTTAATTGACACGTGAAGTTGGCACGATTTCAAACACCCTTTCAATGGTCAATGGTGTGTTGCAAAAAATAGCTGAAGCTTGACATGTCCCGCCGGATGATGAGTTAGTGGTGAGCAAAATGGCAATAGGAACTAGTGAACAACCGCAAATGGCGAACTTGCCGATTACGGCGTTCCCGTCCGTTATATGTACTATCCAAGGTTATCGTTTGTGGTTTCTGGACAAAAATGGAGATGGGTCCGTTGGTTTTGGTTTTTCTACTGTTTGTATGGGTCGTTTGGATTACGTGACATGGTATAGCATAGCCAGTGCACTATCGACACGTGCTTTGGACACAACTAACGTGGGGGCTGAAATAACAGCTTCTGAGGGGATTTTCCACGTGTGGCGTACACACAGCGAAAAGAAGTTTCGTCAACACTCCAACCGACTGTACTGTTCTGCCAATTTGAAATGATGACCTTTCGTTGGTTGTTGCGATTAGTGTTGTTTAATATTTGGTAAGCAATGATTAGGTCACAATGCAAACGGCGATAACGTCCGCTGAAAGTGTCAGGCACTCTGAGGCGCTGTTCGTATGACAAGTGGCACAGTCCCTTGAAATTTTTAGTCACCTGACGTTGTGGAAGCTCTAAGGCCGTGACATCTCGCTTTAGCCATGGATGCCATGCTTGAATTACATATTTAACATGAGGGCGTATATAAACGGGAAGTATTTGCCCGAAAGCGCCCCGTAAAAGCCTCACGATTTGGATCCCCTACTTCGATGCCTTTTTGGACTGCTCCCAGCAGCCGAGATCTTCCTGGACCAACACACCGAGATCATTATCCAGTGAACAGTGGTGCTGATCCTGGTTCCTTAGTTTATATGTGTGAACCATTCGGTGTCTTAAATGAAGCACTCAATATTTAGTCACATTGAAGGAAAGGCGATTTTGGACCGACCATCCATAAATCTTGTCAAAATCGATTTGAAGCTGGATACGGTCTTCGGGAGCTCTGATCACTCGCCAAACTTTGATGTCATTGGCATAGCCTAAACAGTTTGGCACAATTTGACTCACTAAATCGTTTATGAAGACCAAGAATAGACGGGGCCCCAGTACCGAACCCTGGCACTCCGCATTCGATGTGAATTGGGTCTGACATGGATTCAGGTCCTCTCATCTCCAGACGCCTGTGCGAGAGAAAATTGCAGATCCACCCGAGGGGTGGGTCCCCAATGCCACATCCTTGAACTTTGGCGAGGATACGATGGTCCAACCGGTCGAATGCCTTAGAGTAATCAAGTTAAGTCACATCAACTCCTGAACCAGAGTTCACAGTTTCGGCCCAGCTGTCTCGTGATAATAACTGATTGTGCACGACCGATTCTGACAGAAGCCGTGTTGCTGCTGAGCAATGTAACCAAAGCCGTCCAGATAAGACATGAGTGCGTCGGCAATGATAACCTCCATAACTTTGAAAGAACTGGCAGTAGTCACTCGTCGATAATTGGCTGATTCGGAACGACTACCGCCTTTGTAAATGGAAGTTATTATTCCGTGTCTCCACATTTCAGGAACGTGCCGCTCGTCAAGGCAGTGCTGGAACAGCCGCGCCAAAGGTTTCGCCAAAACAGTAGCCGCCACAGCAGGCGTCTTTGTGTGGATGTCCTCAATTCCTGGACAGACGTGCAGGCGCCTGGATAGCAGCTTTCTCATCATGATATCTGCCGTAAAATTTATATGAATGAGTCCTGGTGTGGACACCATAGATTCCCGTGTTGTGGGCAAATCAAGTATCCCCGCAAGAATGAGCCACAAACGCCAGTGCATGGGCTGGGCTACGCAGAGTTCAATTCCTCCCCGCAACATAGCAGGATGCGGCCACTCCGCGTCGGGACGCAACTGGGCTAAATTGGACAATGTTTTCTTATAAACCACCAGCCCTACGTGGCGATTCATTTCCTCCAAAATGAAGCATTGTCCCAACTGTGAATCGGCCTTTGTCTTAAAAGAGTTCCCAGAAGTCCGCTTCGCCTTCTCTTGTCTCCTCTCTCGATAGTTGGGACCCGGGTGGTCACGTGACTGTGTGCGCGTTCGTTCCGCGTTCGTCTAAGCCTCACACGTCTAAGTTCCCCGGTCGTGTGTGTCGCTGACCGTTTTCGAGGGCAGCGCGCCACCCGAATACGCGCTCAGGTTGCGCGTAACTTTCGTCTAAGCTAACGCGGCCAGGCCTGCGCAAATCCACTACAGCCCGTTGATACGTCCGGTTTCCAATCGACGGATCAACAGACGAAGGGCACATGAGGCCCGAGTTGAAATTACTTGTTGAAGGTCAGCGCCGATTCACTTATTGATTTTCTTGCTTGTGAGACAGTTTTGTTCGAAACGCACCAGAAATCGAACCACTAGGCTAGACTGGACCCAAGGTTTCAATCGCTTGACTGTTCCCATCAACTAATTGTCACCTACAGAGGGGACAATTGATAGAAAACTCCGTACTCTGTACTCACCGTCGCTTCCAAAGCATTTTCTCCTACAAGAGAGGTACCCGGGAATGGGGACTTACTGCGAGTAGAACTATAGTGTGCAAGTACCCAAAATGAAGCGTTTTGTTCGGAGTCTACAGCACAGTAAGGCTACACTTGAGGAAGGGTTCAGTCCAGCGCAAGTGCTCTATGGGGCAAGTGTGGGTACGATGGGTTGGATCAGACACACAAATCACCTGCGACCAAGCAGCATCCAAATATGTGTCAATGGATGATCGTTGCCACAGGACATTCTCCTGAATAATTTCGATATACCCCTCAGAACATAGTAAGGGTCGAATGCACCCAACCAGATGACTACACTGAAAATGAGCTTGTGGTTACGAAAATTCACAGACTGGGCAGTGGAACCCTTGGCCATAGTGCAGCTCGATCCAAGAAAAAAGCTGTGCTTCAGTTTTCGCGCGGTGGTGTTAAGGAGGATCGCTCATTTGTTAGCGGCAACCATGGGTTAGCAGTGCTGGAGGTCGGTTAGCTCTTAGCCAACCGATGGGAAATTGTGTGGCCAGCAGGATCAGCCAGTGAGTGTACATGACCTCCATAGCCAACTAATGGGAGCGAATGGCGGGCTAACGTGATTTTTGGTATCAAGGTGACTTTCAGGAAGTCACTAAAACCATGGTCATTACTGCTGTGTCTCCGTGTCTGTTTTGAGTCGTGTTAAAACTTGTTGGCTAGATCTTTATTTTTTGATTCTGGAAGTTCGGCTGCTTTGGGGATTCGTAACAGAAGTATCGTATCGCCCCCAGTATCCGCTGGAATGTAATACTAATTTGCCACGTGATTTGCCTGTTCAAGCCTCTGGGTTATACTTTTTACCTAACGTTACTACGCTGCCGACAAATCTAACTTCGCTGCGAATTTTATCGGAAAGGCAGTTTCTACGTTACTGAACTCGGGTTTCATGTCACACTTTTTTTATCAATACCATGTAACAGCTCGCTACTACCGGATTTTAGGACAAATCTTGGTTTCATTTTTTAGCCTACTCATTTCGATTTTATACTTCTGCTAGTGATCACCACAGGTCTTACACATACTCATTCGTTTGTTTCCATCAGGCAACGGCGACGAGAAATTAGTGATAGGTCAGTGGCGACATCCGGTACTGTTTCATGGGCAAGACTTCAAGACCACGATGGAACAGTGTACACTACGGTCCCCACGGACATTCCAATCAGTTCGACCACCCAATTCGAGGCGCCGTTTGAACGAAAGAGTATGCTAACCCATTCTTTTTCCATCTACCGAAGTATGTTTCCTCATGAATGCCCAACCGATGATTTTAATTCCAACGGCGTTGGATCGATGTGTGTCGAAAATGGATCAACTCGACACTCTTGTCCTATTGTTACTTCGCCTTATTTAAAGGCGAATTCTTCCTCCGATCCTCGATTTCTGGAGCCGGACGCTGAACTTACCTTATCTAGCCCCGGTAAGTTAACAATAAATGCGCTTCGTGATGCCTCCCTACGTCTCAAACCCGGCTTTATGCTCTTTTCGCAGAAATTAACGCTCACATTGTGCATAGTTTGGTAGCTTGCTGCTCAATTAGATCAAGCCCCCATGCATCTCGCGTGTTTTGGATCGCGGTTACTGGAACTCCGATATGTACTTATTTTGGCAACGTGCGTACACTTAGAGGGTTGGCACTGTCGCCGTGAGTTCATCACGTAGTTGCGCACTAAAGTCATGAAGTTAATCCTGTTGGGTTGCTGTTCAACGATCTCCTGATGTCACTGCCTCGAGTTTGTTGAGTGAGTCGTCTATGTATGGCAATGACTTGCAATGACTTGTTCAGGCTTTCAGCGACGCATGTCTAGTTCTATGTACAACACAAGGTGGATCATAAGTGTTCCGGGTTAGATTTAATTTTTAATGTCTGGATGTTACAAAGCAACATTGCACATGTACACACAGTCGTACTGGGTAATGCTATTTAACAGAACCTGCCGCTTCGTTCAGTCTGAATGACTCGACTGTGGCCTCGGTTGGGCTGCTCACTTTGGAGCCGGATGCGTTTGTTGCAAACGATGATACGTTGGCTGTCGAGGCTCTTCATTGAAACCGTGTATCATGACACATCCTTGTTGGATCATATGCAATGGGTTTATCGCAGCACTGTGACGCCCTGAAGTTTAGCATGACGCTCTGAATGCCGACAAATGGAGCAACCTGGTTTCTTCGGACATAGATTCTCGGTCCCGGATTCTTGTCCATTTAAGAAAATGTGTCTCCCTGATCACCATTGAGTGTACAAAACGGTTATGTAGTGTTTGTGCAGTCGCTCCGGGGCCACGCCGCTGGGTCCAGCCTACCTGTATTCACCTTATCGCTTTACAATGCAAGTAGCACTGTCGCTGTATTTCAAGTCAGTACGCTGTTGCAGGGTTTTTTGGATCAGCCATAGGCGCCATCGCTTGCTGTTGGTTAAATCGTTGAAGATGATTCGACAGTACAGCTGAGACGTTTCTCCTCCACTTGTCGGTGAAGCGGGCTCGCAGATCGGACAATATAGGCGTATCTTCAGCCATGCAAATCGGGGTGAAATACGTGAAGGTTCCACCACAGACTCAAGTATCGCCAGGCGTTACTTCGTTGGCGTTCGATTATTGCCATTTAAGCTACGTGCATACTGGCTACAAGTAACTAGATGGATCTATCTTTTTCCGGTACATCCTCACCCATGATGCTATAGACCATCAGCCAAGATACTGCATAGATCTGGGGTGACTTGTTGAGGAATCGCGGAAGCTGTACACTTCGAGTGACTGGTGCCTACACATATTCCGTGGGACCACTATCATAGCGACCGATCAACCTTCGACAACGTACTGCGCTGGATGGCTCAGTGTATCTGAAACCCATATACCGGTCTATTCGCATCACCTGCAGGCGCATTTACCTGGGTGCGTCTTGTTTTTGGAGTGCACACTGGCGGATATTACAACGACCGTAAAACTGTACTGCGATATTGCGCGCATTGCTCTTGGATGATTGCCAAGCGCCTGAGTTTTTCAGCTGCTAGTAGCGGAGGATCAAGGGCGGAACCAGTTTCGGATGTTGTTCCGTAGGTGCGCCTAAATACTATTAATACTGATATCATCTTACCACGGAAACACCTTAAAACCACGGTGGTCAAATAATGTGCTTATTTCATGGAGTTGGTTCTAACTTTGGACCTTCGAAATTCCATCAGATTCCTTAGTTTTAATTGTTGGCATTGTTCTCGAAGATATCTGCGGATCAATAAGTATCCCTTGGTCTCATTCAGACCGAACTGAATCATTTCTGACAGTTTCTCACATTTGCTCTATCAGGCCCATCTCAGACGCAATCAAGACGTATTTAGTACGGTCATGAGCTTCGATCTATGCTTCAGTAACTACGCTTTCAAACAACAGGATAAAGCTTCCTTTTTGGGCACACTCGCCCCGGTCCAGACGTTTGACCTTGGTCTCAGTAATTTATTACAGACAGCTTTACACCGTCGCTGACCTGTCCACATGGTTGTCCGATAGCACCAACATTACCTCTAAATGCTGACATAGCCTATTCTTGGGCATAATTAACAACTTCTTCGAATAAGACTGACTGCTGAGTCAAGCAGGACAGTGACTTGCATAACTCATTTGTAGTCTGCCGAACACCGTTGTAGTTCGTACATACTTCCATGTTCCAACGAGTCAAAGTTCGAACACGGTTTTCCACTTGGCAGAAAATATCGTGCTTACAGATCTGTGAGGACTGTTTGTGGTCAAGCATTCCACATCACAGCTTGCTTCGTCTGAACCTAACTGGAACCATTCGTTTTCAGCACTCTAGCTATGTGTACTTAAGCTGTCACATGATGTACCAATTTCCACATGTTATTTTTCCAGATGTGCACGAGCCGAGCTCAGTCGAGCAATCGCACCACATCAATTCGTTGAATGTCTCGGATCCTCGATGTCAAACCGACGCGTACCTGTGTGACCCGGCGAATCCTGATGAGTCAAATACCGGCCTACCTCCCTCCAATATAGTGACCAACTGGAAAAAGGATAAAATGCGGGCATTGGTTAACGGTGCTTGTACCCAAGAACTGCGTTGCTCTAACGGCCGATCTCGTGATTTGTACCGGAGACCGCCTGCTATGAGCAGTGCCGCTGTCGAAATGAGTTGCGTACGCGAACGAAAACGATGTGCTGGGGATGATATCCTGGATGAAGGTAAGTACAATTGTCTAATGGGATCCGACCTGCGCAGATAATCTGAGTGCATTTTTTCCCTTTAGACTATCGCAGAAATGAGTTTCGTCAGACTTTTGTAATTTTGAATTCCACAGACTTTCAGTGAGCATCTCCACGATACTCTTGAGGCGGTGAATATGCTATGTTATTCTGCATTCTTCTATTGCTGTAAGATTTGGAAGACTGCTGTTGGTACATCACTGTGTTTGTGCTTACGATCTGTGACTCTCGGCTGTCTGATGCCGGGTTGTTGCCCCATGCGTTTGACAAAGTACTCCACGCTGATACCGAGACTGTTTCGGGTAGCAGCCAGGTGTAAGCGACCAATCGATACCAAGTCCGGAGTTTTAAAACTGCCGCAGATTCATTATTGCAAGACAAACGCAATGATTGTATCCTAATTGTTCGGATTCTCCAATCGTCACGATTCTTCGATCTATGATGTGAGAAACACCAACACTGTAGGCAAAAACATTTAATTGGTTCACAAATGTCTCTACATCCCTTAAAACTGCCCAGTTAATGAAGTTTCCCCGGTGTTTTTGTGGACAACTGCATCAACATCGTTTTTGAAATTCGTTGATGAGCTTCTCATCATCTGATGCAATTTGTGTTTCAAGGATACATGAGTATGACACACTTCCATTTTCTCCATGCATGCATATTCACCCCGTTTGCTAGACCAGACCAGCAAGTATACAGAGGATAAATCTCTCGTTTTGTTTTTTAATGTAGACGAAATCATGGATCTATGCACCCGAGTACAAGACGATGTGTTACTCAAGGTGTTAAGTACAATACAACAACTTACAGCCAGATTGAATGGAGATGCAGACCCACCTGAGGTGATTCAAAACTGCCGGGCAATTCAGGCTTGTTTGGACACCGTAGCGACTATTAAGAGGCTTCGGTACACACCTCCCGTGGAGGATAATTGCAACTCTACGAGACGTTCCGGAGTGCCTGCGTTTGGCTTCTGCGACACTTCCGTAGCCAAGTACTGGCTCAGTTGAACCCAATTCGTGAGTCGGAGTCATCTCCAACCTCATCCCCATTGTTGTGACCAACGTTTTCATCGAATGGCATAAGCGATGCACTCGCACACCGACGACAGCGATGTTCCAGTACACCATTTCACCACCGGCTTTCGTTCCATTGGCTTTAGCGCGTGGGGGGGGGGGGGGGGGGGGGGGGGGGGGGGGGGGGGGGGGGGGGGGGGGGGGGGGGGGGGGGGGGGGAGGGGGGGGGGGGGGGGGTGGGGGGGGGGGGGGGGGGGGTGGGGGGGGGGTTGGGGGGGGGGGGTGGTGGGGGGGGGGGGGGGGGGGGGGGGGGGTGGGGGGGGGGGGGGGGGGGGGGGGGGGGGGGGGGGGGGGGGGGGTGGGGGGGGGGGGGGGGGGGGGGGTGGGGTGGGGGGGGGGGGGGGGGGGGGGGGGGTGGGGGGGGGGGGGGGTTGGGGGGGGGGGGGGGGGGGGGGGGGGGGGGGGGGTGGGGGGGGGGTGGGGGGGTGGGGGGGGGGGGGGGGGGGGGGTGGGGGGGGGTGGGGGGGGGGGGGGGGGGGTGGGGGGGGGGGGGTGGGGGGGGGGGGGGGGGGTGGGGGGGGTGGGGGGGGGGGGGGGGGGTGGGGGGGGGGGGGGGGGGGGGGGGGGGGGGGGGGGGGGGGGGGGGGGGGAAAGGGGTGGGGGGGGTGGCGGGGGGGGGTGGGGATTGGGGGTGGGTGGGGGGGGTTTTGGGTGGGGGGGGGGGGGGGGGGGGGGGGGGGGAATAAAGGAAGGGGTGTTGGGGTTGGGGGGGTAATGAAATGATTCGGGCTATTCAGCAAAGCATTGACAGTCGCTCGCTACTACCGACAGACGTTCAAACTTTTTAGCAAACTATCCCCACGGCTGATCGGAATGACTGTTTCTATATTCATTTCGTACTTTTAGCAAATCCACAATGTCAGCATAGCAAATACAGTAAGAATGTGGCTTTCACAGCATATGAACGACTTGCGGGAACAAGCAAATAAAAGTTCCAGTCAGCAATCTACATGTAACTACTTCGAAGCACTGTTGGATTTCGCTTCCTCAAGACCACTGAGGACGAAGCGAATGATGGGATGACATTGTAAGAACGACCAAAATGCAGTTATTAATTTTCAATCTGATTAGCAGAAGCTCCTCCTAAGAAAGGTTAGTGGGCGAGACACAGGTTAGTGTGCCTGTCAGTGACAGTCGATAGTTCGGCTGATTCGACTAACCAGCTAGCCTGTTCTTATCAAGGTTACAAAGCTTCCGTTTGTGATTTCCTTCAGATCACCGCGTGATCTGAATCGAGGCAAGTAGACTGACCAAAATGACCTACAGTCTTGTATGATACCACGCCACCTGAAACTGATTGCAACATGGTCTATTTTGGACCAGGCCTGCGATGGTGGAGGATGCCAGGTGGCAGAGCATCTCCTCGAGTGCCTGAAGTTTGAACTTGCGAAAAATAGCCTGTTGTATTCGCATAAACTGAGAAGCCTAGAACCGTTATCTAAACGATTCTCGTTCAGTGCATGGTGACTACCCAAGTGATATTCACTGGTAACAGTCGATCGACACGTGGTTTGAAGTCCGCGGCGAGGATAATGACGTCCATCTTGGCGACTTTGCGTAATAGCTGATGAAGCTGGTAGGAAGATATTTTCTTGTTCAGTTCAGAGCTACAATTGGTTGGCGCGTAAGCAGAAACTACGAACAGATTGCGCCTTTCAGCGCGATGTCTGCTAATCCTGCATGAGACTTGGAGGCGAACTACATATAGTCGGCTGTTAACCAGGAACCAACCAAGGAGTGCAGTCTCGGCTTTGTTTCTTAACGCTACGCCAAAGCCGGTCAAGGCAGCGGAAGCAGCTTCTGTGTCGCCAGATAAACGTAAGTGGTATGTGGCTTCATAGATGGTCGGAGATTGCAATTTGAGCACAGTACTTGGGTCCTGTAAACGCGTTTCGGAAAGCCAGCAGATATCAATAGCAAGGAAACCCAGAGTAGGTGTAAGGCCGGCCTGTTGTCCAATGAGCATAAGCATCCGGACATTGAGGGTTGCCAACAAGAACGAAGATCGGGGTCGAAGTATAGCCTAAGGCAGGACATCACGGGCAGCAGCGAAACCGGTAGCGGCATCAAGTCGAGGGAAACAGGAATTAATATCAGGATGGTTGGCGTGTGATGAAGTTTAGAGAGAAATGAATGAGGCAGGAGCAGGAGAATCCTAAACAGCCGTGTGATCCATGGTTTTTCCAGCAGGTGCGATACTACCCGGTTGCCCAGATCTAAGTAAGGTTTTGACTTAGGAGACACCACCCTGAGCCACTGGCTCAATAGCCTATTCACAAGGCAGCGGGACGAATGCAGGGAATCGCGCCCAGTGGGAGCCGGCTGGCTAGCCGAACAACCTCTTCATAGTGCCAGTTGGGTGGTTCGGGTTTAACCCGTTCCGGCAAATAGTTCGGCGGCAGTGTTGCAGGATATGGTGGATATTCGTCTGGCAAACGTTCTCCCTATAAAAAGCCACACATGTCTGCTTAACAACAATGACGTGCCGGTCGTGATTCGGCACAAAATAAAGATACCGCCCCGTGCATATCCGGATAATCCTTTCCAACCCACGGACATCAATGTTCTACTCGCACATTGCTGACGATAAAAAACATTCAAGTATGGAGCAGCACAATTATAAGCACAAACTGGTTGGTGGCATCCGCTTTCGGATTTGCCTGTCACTGTGGCCAGCCACAGGACGCATGTGCTTACAGAGGGACCATGGGTGGCTTGTGCTGCACCACCCACAGCTCCAATCACACACCCCAAGTCCAGTGTAAACCCGAAGGAATAAGACCGGGAGGCATGTGGATGGGAGCCACGTTTCATCAACGGAGCCGGCCCACACTCCTTCACAGGCAAACACAAGCACGCAGTATTTGGGGAACCAATCGCACAAAATGCGGTGGCTTGACCGTAGTCCGCTCCACACTGAGTGCATGGAACCATTAATGGAGCCTAACACGGCCCCAAGGACCGTGCACTCCGTCCTCTCCAGCGACAACCAACTGCCTCCTGGAGCCAGTATGAACGAGGTAGTGGGTAATAGACAGGTAGACACCTTGTCAACATGCACATCAAGCGCAGCCACACCGGGGATATCAAGAAACAGCCAATCACTTGAAACGACAATATCAAATAAAATAAATCGAATAATGCATACAGATATGCCGACATAGCTCTTTAATAAATGAGCATATGAAATAAATTGGTTGCCGAAAATTCCACCACAGTTTCAAGACGTCGGAAAATATATTTTAAGAAAACGTCACAGACGCGAAAAGGTTATCAAAGTTAACTACAAGAAACGATGTTTGCAAGTTGACAGAATATAGTTCACGTAGGCAAAAATGAGACAATATAGCAAACCCACCACCTGAAATAAAGAGACTTAGCATGCAAGCACGAGGTTAGTAAATCGAATGCAGCATACCTACAAATGCTGCGCCGGTTTTGCCTACGTTCTCTGTAGCACCCGTCGTCGCTTCGGTAGTGGTCCCGAATGGCCTCGCTCATGGCTCACTAGGCCTGCCTGACTCAGGCACTCGCGACCGCATGTGCTACAGCACAATGTGCTCGATGTCGATGAAGTACAACCCATCGGCGCCTGCTGCTTCCGCACTTGACGCTTCTTCTCTGCATGCATGAGGTCTTTCTCCTGCACCTTGGCAACTGCCTTCGTGATCAGATCGCGTCATGCACGCCGATCAACCGTCTTCGATTCCCATGACCTGCAATCGAGTTTAGGACGTGAGAGGCTCATTTTGATCATGTCCTGGTAACGTAACCTCGGTTTCCCCACATGCCGCTTCCCAAACCCATCTGACCATATAATAATAGTTGTGGAATCCGCGTCGAATCCATACGGCGCACATGACCGAGCCACCTAAGGTGTCACAGCAACGGTACGCAGTCCACTTCATACATTCCACTTCGACGCAACACTTCCGCGTCCGCAACTCTGTGGCACCAAGCAATATGCAGAATCCGTCGCAAACACTGCTAATGGAACCGCTCGAGATATCGAACATCCAGCGAGTTCTTCGCCTACGTTTCACTGCCATATGGGAGGACGGACAGCACCATGGATTTGTACACCAACTTCGTGCCAATGGTAAGCTGATGGTTGTTCCACACTCGGTACTCTAGCTTACCGAATGCCGCCACTGCCTTCGACACGCGGATACGCAGCTCACTGTGTAGCTGCTGGTCAGTCGACATCACACTCCCAAGGTAGCAGAAGCGGGAGGTGGTTTCCAATACTTCAGCACCAATGCTGATTTGCGGCAATATTGAAGATTGCACCTCCGGTGAAGGCTGAAAGAGACAGACAGTTTTGCTTGTGTTGATGGTGAGCCCGAATTTGGCCGCTGTCGAAGCCAGAGCACTAGTCATGTGCTGCAACTCATCCGCGCTGTGTGAAAACAACGCACAGTCGTCAGCAAACAGCAACATACGGATAGTTGTCTCACAGACTAGAGTTCTCGCACCGAAACGACGGATGTTCAGCAACCCACCATCAATACGGTGCTCCACACGAACACCGTAAGCACAAGCCGCATCAAAAGCACAAGACATCATTGCATGAAGATATATATTAAACAGGGCAGGAGCTAAGACACAGCCTTGCTTCACACCAGAGACAACTGCAAAGTCATCCGAGGTCTCTCCACTCAGCTGCACCCTCGCTCGCATACCACTGTGCAGATATTCAATTAAACTTACAAACTTACGCGGGCAACCAAACTTACCTAACACCAGCCACAATGCCTCGCGGTTCACTGTATCAAATGCCTTGGTGAAATCAACAAACAACGAGTACAACGGCTGGTGTCGTTCTCTGCACTTCTCCTGCAACTGACGAGCCGCAAACACCATATCTATAGTGCTGCGACCCGAGCGGAATCCACACTGCTCTTCCGCCACGTTAGGTTCCACAACCTGACTGACGAGGCGATTGAGCAGGATTCGGGCAATCACCTTGCCCACACAACAGCAAGTTGATGCCACGATAATTCGTGCAACATTGCTTGCTACCTTTGCCCTTGTACAGTGGTAGCACAAGGGCATCCTTCAGCTCAGCAGGCACCTCCTCCTCAATTCATACGTGTTGCACCAGGTGGTGCAGCGCAGTCACCAACGTGGGTCCGCCGTGTTTTAATACTTCAGGCGGGGTCCCATCACCTCCGGCACATTTGCCGTTTCGCAGTTGAACAAATGCTCTCTGCGTCTCATCCAGTGTCGGAGTGTCCGCCAGATCCGCCTTCACATCGTGCTGCTTCACGCCGTTCAATGCAGACCAGTCAATCTCCGAACAGTTGTTCAAGAGACAGTCAAAGTGTTTTCGTCAGATCTGCATTATATCTGCAGTCGATGTGCAGGTAGCAACTGAACCACCATCGATCAGCTTCCTCAGCTGCTCCAATCTCAGTCCATACACCGCCTTCAAGGAGTCAAAGAATTTCTCGTGCTGGCGACGTTCCGTGTAGCATTCCATCTGCTTCGCCTTCTCCGTCCACCATGTATTTTTAATGCGACGGAGCTCTCGGGCCAGTCGCCGTCGAAGTTTGCGAAACTGACTCATCTTCCCTAAGTCCCTGGGGTCTGCAACATGTGCAGCAAATGCAGCATTCTTCTCCGACACCAATGCGCCAATCGTCACATTGTTTTCATCAAACCAATCAGGCCGCTTACAGTTTGCGCGCCCGATGGTCTCCTCGGCAGCAGATG